GATATTAAACCTATGATTCTCCGGTTGTTCCCGTAACCAGTTTACGTAGCTGACTGCTGCCATAATATGGGCACAAGATCCTCCTCTCACTAGGAAATGGAAGCAATGACAACTAAAGATGGGTTTAAGGCCAACCGAATATGACCTCATCTCATCATTATCAAGACAAATTTCTGGATTTAAGTTATCAGTCTCTATAATAACATATAAAGATTCACCATTGTATTCGACTGAGGGTTTCTTTCGTAATAAACGATTGGCTTCTTGATTAGTTCTTGGGCAATTTTCTTCAAAAGCAATGGTATTGATATGCTGCTCAAGTAAGCATTTCCATTGCCCTTCTTCTAACTCATCCCCCTGAAGCACTGCATCAAGTGATGGCTTTTCATTTTTTAAAAATGTCTCAACATAATTCCATAATTGACGTTGTAAATTACAAATAGGTGTAATGAACTTTATAAGCAAAAGACTTAAAACATCTAAACGCAAAAGATGTCCTTTTTGCTGAAACCTTAGCATTCGATTTGAGTTGAACTGTATTTGGAATCCTTCTTGATAATCTAATAACCATGTGTTTAAATCAACGCCTATTTTGCCTGCAGCTCTTGATCGGTTATTAAATGACCACATTTTTATTTCTATGTCATTTATCCAATTTGTACGTAAATATTTTAAAAACTCGCATTGTCCGTTATACAAAGATAAGAGCGTCTTATTATTAAATGCTTCTGCATGACGTTCCTACAATAATAATAATAATAATAATAATAATAATAATACACTAAAATGTTATTTCATGCTATTATTAATAATCATAAGAGTTCTTATTGGATTGTTTTTTTTTTGTTACCATTGCACGCCGTTCCATCTCCTGAATTTGTGCTTGCATTTCACTTTCCGAGGCACGTTCTAATCTAATGGCAATATTAAAATTGACAATGTAAGTAATTTTATTAAGATTAGACACAATAATAATAAAGTTACTCACTCATTAAATAAATTTGTCAACTCATTTCTGAGGATTTGACGACATTCAATAGCTTCATTACTACCTCCCATAAATAAAAATTCATCTGCTTTTGTTTCCCAACATATCCGCACCTTATGAGGTGAGTATAACACGTCAATTCCGTTCCAAATTTCAGAAACCACAATGCGTTCAATTGGCTCCCTAAAATTTCCAATAATAGCAATCTATAGTACAATAACCACAAAAAAACAGAAATGGTTGATTAACCTAATAATAATGAAATTGTTGTCGTATATGATTTAACTAATATTTACCCTTGGAGTAAACTCTTGAAAGTTTCCTTTAAAGTTATTCAATCGTTTTTTATATTCAATTAATAGTTTCTTAAGAATTATATATTTATGATTATTCTCTTCCATCACGTAAGAATTATTTGGTCTTGAATATAATAGATATCCCACAGGTATACTTTTATTTAGTTCATCAACGACCATGATAACGTATAATAGTAATTTTTTGTTTCCAGTTTCAAAAGAATCATCTAGAATAATACATTTTTCATGACCATAACTCCATGCTAGACCAAGTTGTTCTTCATTTGCTAGCACTAAACAAATGTGATCATGACGATGCTTCCGTTTTTCGAAATAAACCACTGAATTAGATAAATCTGTATCTTGAGCGCCCTCTCCAAAATAACTTTCTAGATTAAAATCAACAGATCGATTCATATTTATGGGCCACTGTTTTTGAGTTTTAACCCAACGCCTTGCATCCTTAACATCATAAATTGTAACTAGAAAATGTTGATCTTTTAAAGTTGTTCTTCCAGATAATTTTTTTCTTATAAAATGTTGATTCCAAGATATAATATCTTTTATAGATGTATTTGCCCTAACCAAAAGTTCTGTCATGTCTTTAATCTCACAATTAACCCTTAGAGTCGGTGTATCTTTCTTTGGTAATGCTCTATGGCAAGCCTCAGTATGTTCCATGTATCCATGAACTCGTCGATACTTGCCATTAGTAACATTTTTTTCTACTCTAATAAAAGCTAAACATCCAACAAAATCATACATTTGTCGAAGCTTTCTTTGTTTATCTACATCAGTTTTTCTTGCAGATTCCATATCAGATCCACAAGAACACTGATATAAAGTTGCACCATTCTTTTTATCGCTCCAACGAGTCTTCCATCTTGAAGTTGGATTACTAACATAAGGAGGCCAAAGTCCTTGAAAACTCAAATATTCTTTAGCATCCTTTTGGTCTTCTTCACTTTCTGTCCATATTTTATTGATTTTATGAAGTTTTAACACCGCGTGAAAAAATAGATTACTTTAATGCTAAACATCGATATACAACTT